TATTCATAATTGTTTTGTGGGAATAACATTGCACAAAATATTAAAACTAGAAGTAATTGAATAAAGATTCTAGGATTAATTTGTGGTCCATCTAATTCATAACCGAATAGGGCAAATTAGTCGTAAGGGATTGATGAATTTATGCTTCTTAATTTCAGAGTAACCGAATAGGGATCTGTATTAAGTTGAATATTATGCCTGATAATTGGCCTTAGAAGAATCCTACCAATTCATAGCACAAACGGGTATTAAGAGTAGTTGTCGAGCATAATTAGGGGGAAATTTGTACCTTAACTTCATTAATATTGCAAAGTTCTTCACATTGTTTATTTGTTTGATTTAGTTATTTCTGATCCGTTAGTTTTACACTCTAAACTTTTGTTTTCTCAAATAATGTGTAGGTAGTTTTAGGTAATTACGAATATTTGCTTTGATCTCTGTGGGACGATACTCAAACTCATCACTTTATTACTTGAACATGACTAGTGCACTTGCTAGGGTTGATTTAGTCGCATCAAGTTTTTGGTGCCGTTGCCAGGGATCATTAGATTGTTTGTGATTATTTTAAGATTACCTGTTACTTTGAGATTTTTTTTTTTTTTATTGGAAACCAATAGGTGTTTCTGCTAGTGTATGACCAGAGCCTCTGGAAAGATTTTACTAGCATTTGATCCTGAGATATAGTGCACTTTTCACGTAAGAAAGAGAGCAATAAAAAAGGACATCATGGGTGATCACGATAACCCAAATAATGGAACACCACCAGTAACTTGTACATTGAACGAGTACTCTACCCCATCTCTAAATGGAGCAACATCGAGCATTAGACGACCAGTGATCAATGCCAACACCTTTGAGATAAAACCAGCAATCATCCAGATAATTCAACAGTCAGTGTAGTTTGGTGGTTTGGCACATGAAGATCCCAACTTACATATTGTAAATTTCCTGGAGATTTGTGATACTTTTAAGCACAAAGAGTTTCTGTGAAGTTATAAGACTAAGATTGTTCCCATTTTCATTAAGAGACAAAGCTAAGAGTTGGTTGACCTCATTACTAGTAGGCTTGATTACAACCTAGGAGTAGATGACACAAAAATTCCTGAGTAGGTATTTTCCTCCTGCAAAGACTGCACAATTGCATAATGATATTACTATGTTTGTACAGGTGGATACAAAATCATTATATGAAGCATGGGAAAGGTTCAAGGACATGCTCCGGAGATGTCCCCACCATGAATTACCGGCTTGGCTACAAGTCCAGACATTTTATAATGGTCTTAATAGTGAAGTTCGAAATATGATCAATGCTGCTACGGATGGTACTTTAGGTAAGAAGACACCAGAACAAACTTATGAATTGCTAGAGGAAATGGCTTCAAATTCTTATCAATGGCCAATATAGAGGTTGCCTATGAGAAGAATGTTGGGTGTTCATAACATAGATGATATTACAGCTTTGGCAGCACAAATGTAGGCGTTGAATAAGAAGATTGATGGACTTCAAATGCAAAAACCTGCAATAGTTGCTTCTATGTGTGATTTTTGCGGTGAAGATCACCCTAACCATGAGTGCCAGTCAGGTAACATGTTTGCTGTTAATTCTATGCCTGATCAAGCTAACTATGTTTCAAATTTTTGCAGGCCTAATAACAATCCATACAGTGAAACATATAATCCGGAGTGGAGGAATCACCCAAATTTCTCTTGGAGTAACAACCATCAAGTGAAACCTCCACCGCCAGGTTTTCAATCTCAAGAGAAGAAATCAAATTTAGAGGAAATGATGGCGAAGTTCCTGAGTACTACAGAGACAAGAATTCAAAATCAAGAGGCTTCTATCAAGAATTTAGAAGCTTAAATTGGCCAGTTGCCCAATATCATTTTGGGTAGACAACAAGGGCATTTACCGAGTGACACAGAAAGAACTCGAAGGAGCAATGTAAGGCCATAACCTTGAGGGATGGAAAGGTGATTGTTGAAGAAGAATCACAAAAGAAGGTGGAAAGTGAAGCTGAGTTACCGGTCTCTATTGAAGAAAAGAAAGCGAATTCAGAAAAAGAGACAAAGACTAAGGTAAAGGAAATTGCAAGAGGTAAAGGAAAAGGTACGTCAAATTATGATTTTGTTGTTGTTGAAAAAGATGTATCTAAATTTCCTTATCCCGATAGAATTAGAAAGGATAAACTGGATCAACAATTTTCAAAGTTTTTAGAGGTCATTAAGAAATTGTAAATAAATATTCCATTTGCTGAAGCCTTAGTATAGATGCCTAGATATGCAAAGTTCTTAACAGACATCCTTTCTAACAAGCGGAAGATCAAGGAGCACGAGACAGTTATGCTCACTAAAGAATGCAGTGCCATCTTGCAAAATAAATTACCTCCTAAACTGAGAAATCCAGGGAGTTTTACTATACCTTGTTTATTAGGAGATTCATTCTTTGATAAAGCATTATGTGATTTAGGTGCTAGTATTAATTTAATGCCTTTATCAATTTTTAGGAAGCTAGGACTTGGAGAAGTGAAAGAGACAAACATGTCACTCTAGCTCGCTGATAGATCAATCAAATGACCTAAAGGCATTTTTGAAGACATTTTGTTAAAGGTTGACTGTAATAGCTGCTTTATACTACTATACTCATCAAAAACACATATATAAAATACGAGTACATTAATAAAAATAGTTAGGCCCAAAATTTTTCTTTCATTTAATATACATACTCTTTTACAAAGTCAGTATCCTTTACAAAAGTTCTTAACAGTGTGGTAGATAGTGTAACTACTCCCCCTCGCCCGCTAACGTCCATTCGACTGCGTACTGACCTGGAACCTACAAAAGCATAGAAAAATAACGGGGTGAGCACAACTAATGCTCAGTAAGTAAATCCTCTACTCATCTGTCCCCGTAACTCTTTCTCTTAATTCTTTCCTTACACTATTCTTTTCTCATTTATGTTCTCTTTTTGTTTCTATTTCTCATATTCTTTGCTATACACTCTCTAGTGTATGTCACGGCCTCATCTTACCGGAGGCACGGCCGGGAACTCAACCCACTCTTCGTGACTTTACTCTTTTTCCCTTTCTGTTCTTTTTATTTCTCTGATTCTCATTCTTACTCATTGGAATGTCACGGCCTCATCTGACCGGAGGGACGGTTGGGTGCTACCGCTCTACATGACTTCTATTCATTTCTCTACTGATCGGATTCGATTATGCATGGATTCGGAACCCTTGGCCATGTGAGTGTACATTCTTTCTCTCTATCTCTTGAATGTCACAGCCCCTTCTTACCGGAGGCACGGCTGGAACCTCATGTTCCACTCTTCGTGACGGTCACGTAAGACTGGGGATCACAAAGCACCCACTCTCGTGACTTTACTCATTACTCACGGGTTCCCCATCGTACAACCTATTCTATTCTTTTCTTTAGATCTTAGAGTAGTTTGTGCACAAGGTCTCTACTCTTTCTCTAGCTAATAATCACAATGTAGCTTAACTCTTAGAGAAGTCTATTCACAAAGTTCTCTACTCTTTCTCAAGCTACTTCTCAATGCACAATTAATGCATATGGATGGTTCATGCTCATTAATGCACTTAGGAAATGCCAATATGCAATGTTGGAAGAATTAAGGTTCAGAACTCATTCTCACGCTTTTCTTAGGCATTTCATCAAACAACTCATGTGCATACAAAAACTCTTCTCTAACTACAACTCTATTTCTCTTTTTAACCATCCAAAATGGGAGTAAGCTCCCTTCCATGGGCATAACCCCTATCATAGAAGAACACTCCCAAAATATCTACTTAATCTCCTCCAACTTCATCTCAAACTCATCACGCATCAACACTTCTTATAAAAGAAATGTATCCAACAAACTCAACATGAATACTCATCTCAATTTAATTTCTCAACAAGTAGGCATATATCTCTACTCAGTTTTTCAATAACATACATATAACATGCATACATAATTTCTACTAAATCTCTACTCAAGAGAATTCTCAAATCTCAACTTGGGTTGGGATTTACTTACCTTAAACTCAAGTAGAATCCACTTAAGCTCTTTACTCTTGGTGGCTTGATGCTTTCTCTTAAACCCTAAACACAACCTTAGTAAGGATCCTACCCTTACACCAATAAAATTCACATCTAGAGTAAGGATTCTTACCTTTAAGTGCTTAGGCTCAACTTGTATCAACTTCTAGTCAAAGACCCTCCAAAAATCCTTGGAAGATTAAATGAAAGCTTGAGAGAATGGAAGGATGAAAGAGGCGGTGGAAAAGAAGGAATGAAAGGGTTTCTAAAGTTAAACCCTTAATATCTCATATTTTCTCCACTCTTTCCCATTTTACCCTTACTCTTTCTTAGGAATTCCACATTTGCCCTTTAGTTCTTTGCAAATGCACCCCCTATCTAAACTATTCTCCATGCAATTTCCTTGCATTTAACTTCCCACTTTTCCTGCTAATTAGGGGTAGAATGGTCATTGTGCCCCAAAGGAAGAATTCTCTAGAAACTCAATACACATTTTGTTAGGCTCTTCGCCACGGCGAAGACTATTTCTTTGCCCCGGCAAAACATCACAGAACCTACACCGAGGGTTGTAGGACCTCATCGCCGCGGCGAAGATTCTTCTTCGCCCCGGCAAAGTCTGTAACACCAAAATTTCACCAAGTCTCTACAATTTCAGGGCAACCACTCAACCAAACCAATACATCCATTCAACCAAGGGCCAACCAAACCATATTAACAATATTACAATTCAAATGAGAGCAAAATAAGAAACATTAGCTACGTACCTCGAGTGGGGCGTTACATTGACAAATTTATCTTTCTAATGGACTTCGTAGTTCTTGATATGGAGGAGGACCATGAGGTGCCTCTAATTTTGGGACGTCCATTTTTTGCGACAGCTTAGTGCTTTGATAGACGTGCAACAAGGAAAATTAATTTTGAGACTAAATGATGAAGAAATAGCGTTTGATGTCCATAAAGTGATGAAAAATCCTACTGCATTTGTTATTGAATCTTGTTTTCACTCTGATAGTTTTGGTGAGATTGTAGGTGATCACAAAGGAGAAGTTCTGCAGGAGGATTCTTTGGAGAGATGTCTAATGGAGTCGAGCACAACAGAAGATGAAGACTCATGCTTGAGAGAAGAAGCTGAAGCATTAGAGAAGGAATCTTTGACTGATAGTAATATGGAGCTAAAGGAGGATTTGCATAAAACTCCTAATGACGCTCCTAAACTTGAACTTAAACCTCTTCCTTCACATTTAAAATATGCTTTTCTAGATAAAGATGCTTACCCAGTGATTATTTCTGCATCTTTGATAGATTTGGAGAAGAAGTCACTACTAGACATTTTGAGGAAGCACAAGAAGGCTATTGGATGGACAATTGCTGATATCAAGGGAATAAGCCTTTCCATCTGCATGCATAAGATCCTCATGGAAGAGAATTTCAAGCCAACAATACAACCACAAAGGAGATTAAATCCTACCATGCAAGAAGTGGTACGAAAGGAAGTGGTAAAATTAGTCAATGCAGGTATTATTTATCTTATCTTTGATAATTATTGGGTTAGTCATGTGCAAGTAGTGCCTAAGAAAGGGGGAATGACTATAGTGAAGAATGAAAATAATGAGCTTATCCCCACTAAGATGGTAATTGGATGGCGTGTGTGTATAGACTATAAAAGATTCAATTCTGCCACTAGAAAAGACCATTTCCCATTGCCATTTATTGATCAGATGTTAGAGAGATTGTTAGTAAACGGTCCCATATACGCAGTGGAAACAAAAAAATATAATTCAAGGATCGTTTACATGAGCCAAGATCAAGGGTATAATTTTACAATTCATATTAAATAAAATCTGCAGGAAAATAAATATGAGTTTAAAGAAAACAAACGCACATTGGAGGCTCCTCCAAATTTGTCGACGAATGTTTTGCTACCAATCCAAGTGTAGGATCGAACTTGCATAGTCCACACGAAGACAATCTCAAAAAGAACCAAAGAGGGATTTGCTAGATCCTCTTTGGCTTCAAGATTAAGAAGAGAGCAAATCAATTGAATTGATTTTAGGCAAAAGATGTTTCTGCCGTGGGAGTGTTTTGGAGTGGGTGCTGTGTGTTTTAATTTCAAGAAAATCAATTAATTAATCAATTAACACACATACTTTTCTTTTTATAGCTAATCAATTTGACCTAATCCCATACGGAATAGGCTTGGGCTCCAACCAAACGCCCCATGTTGCCAAACACTCCCAATTTAATATTTTATTTTTCCATCATTATCTCAATTAAAATTTTATATTATATAATATATATATATATATATATATATATATATTAATATTTAACAATAATGATAATATATATTTAAATATGTGCGAACACACATTTACGTAATTTCACTTATTAATTTTTCAACAAATTAAATAAAGGCTCGACCTCAGCAAATTTAATTGCACTGTGAAATTACCAAAATACCCTTTCGCCTTAAAAGACGAAAACGCCCTTCTTTCTTTTTGGATCTTAAATTGTCTTTATGTGTGTGACCTGATAAGAGTGTAATATATATTTTATTCCTTCCATATTATTTTTTTGTTATGTTTTATGCTAGTTGAGCTGATTAGAGCTTATTTTGTAAGTTTGGCATATTTGGATAGACTTTAGGAAACAATTGAGAAAAGATTAGGAAATTCCAGATTTTCCAGATTTTTCGTTATTCTGACTAGTGCTACGTTTTTCAGGTTTTTCAGGGAGCTAGATTCCTCGATTGCAAAAATGTTCTTCAGAGAAATTAAAGTACCGAATCAAGCTTTTCAGGAAGGTATTATGGGAAAGATTCCGAGTTCGTTTGGTTTCTAGTAGTGTTGCAAAACCGGACCTGGAATCTTAGTCGCGGAAGGATTCCTTAGCTGAGTATGAATCTTCGAACGGGCCTAACTGGAGCGTCAGATATTAAAAACGGGTGATTCAAAAGCCCAGATTCACTACACATCCTGGACTACAATTTTCATGAAGTGATGGAGCCTAGAAAATATCTTTTACATTGCGGAATCCTGGTGCAAGCTGGAGACGAATTCTGGAATCCATATCTGATAGATTTATCAAATTGGAGTCTATCTTCTAGGAAACGTCTAGGAAAGAAATTCCGGATTCTTGGGGAAGAATTAACGAAACACATGTTATTTAATTAGAAGTTTTAGGTTAAAGGGGGGGGAGGAGCAGAGAGTTTTTCTTTTAGTTTTTTTGCTTTCTACATCAAGATGTGCGGCTAATTTCCTTCTTCAGTTCAAGGGGATTTTGAAGCCTAATTTCATGTCATTGGTGTAACCTGACTTAGTAACATTGTCTTAATCTCGTTTTTATTGGAAGTTTTATGTTATTCTGTTTTAATTGTTTGTGATTCTTGTTTGAGTGATTTAGTTTTGGCCTGCAATTGTTTAATCAGAATTTACCTGTTAGAATTAGGAATTGTGATCCTAATTGTCCTTTTTCTATTCAACGAGTGACACATGGATAGCTGATATGGACAAGTTTTCGGTCTATTGTCTTGAATAACATAACCTAAGTTAAAAAATCCGAGCTTGCGTGATTGTTGCTTAGATTGATCTATTCTCCTAATTCTTAAGGCTGCCATTGAATTAAATTTAGAGAAATTGTTCAGGTTGTTCAAGGGTTAGTATCTACTCGAAGAGCTTGTTTCGGTAGTGACAAACTAAGGGAGAATTCGGGTAACAAAGCTTGTTGTTTCCTAGGGTCGTAGTTTCATAATGATGAGATAGAACAGTGTTACGGTTACTTATGTCCAATGCATGTTTAGGTGGATTTTGAACCGAGAGCTGATTGTTTAACCTGATATTTTATTTCTCTATTTTACTTTTGTTTGCCTTGATTACAAACCCCTTTCATTACTGTTGTCAGGTTTTCTGTTTAGAGTTTAATTTGCGTTTCTGTTGTTTTTATTGTTTAGAATATAGAAATTAATCGAGTCATTCCCGTGGGATCGCCCTTGCTTGCCCTTTATAAAATTAATAGTTAGGTCAGTAAGGTTAATTAATTTGCTGCATTCGGCACGACCATGACCCATAGGCTCCTCATCATATCGGCAGTTTTAGTATCATGATTAACACCAATTAATCGTCTCACTAATACACAGACCAAGATTGGCCCTAGCAAGGCATCATAGTCACTCGATAGATTCAGATTCAGCAAGTAGCTACTTGTCAATGATATGGTTACTGTGCAATTTGTTCCTTTCATCATACATTATCTCGACGAGACGAAGGCATAGAAATAGTGTCAACCTTCGATTACTCTCGATATTAGGTATTCAGTTTCTGGACCAATGACCTATATTATAAACTGGATAGAGCAACAACTCAATCCACTGTGGCCATATTTAAGTCATTGCCAATACTGAATTGCGCCGTGAGATAAACTTCTCTCGTACCCGGAGGAGTGAGAATCCTCTGTCAATCCACCATAGTCTTGATACACTCCTCGATGCAGACCATCACCACCGTATTGACAGCTCTGAAAAGAACTACGTTAGGCTAGTGTCAAACTACACCAATCAGTGCACAAGGCGCTCCGGTGATCTCAAGTTAAGGATCAATGCACCACCATTGTTAGAGGATTTGTTCCATAGACATTGGGGTTACCATCCATATGGAATCCTCTGGTGGGTCAGTCTATGAACTTGGTATGGTGTATCCGTACAGCAAGCACCCATGTGTTGCACCAGGTTGTCACAAACAATTTTGAAGTGAGATCAGTCACTGCCTTTCGACAAAGTCGTTCAACACTATGATAGCCTTACCGTACTATCTATGCCCTACATCAGATAATAACTAGGGCTATGGACGTTTCTAGAATGGCCACCATATGTGCTCATAGGGTTCTCACTATCAAGATTTGAAACACTTGATACCCTCGTCACGGTTCTACCATTCTAAGGACATATATCAATACATATTGCAATAATAATGATTTACGCAATATAGAATAAAATGCCTTTTATTGATTAATGAACATTATTACAAAGAGTCAATTCTACAATAATTGATTGGCTCTAGGGCATCTACTCTAACAGAGATTAGCAGGTAATAAATTTTACTGTTTTCTTGATGGCTATTTTGGTTATTATCAAATTCCTATTGCTCTAAAGGACCAAGAGAAAACAACATTTACTTGTCCTTATGGCATGTTCGCTTATCGACGTATACCATTTGGTTTATGCAATGTGTCAGCTACTTTCCAACGTTGCATGATGATGATTTCTCCGACATGACTGAAAAAGTTTTGGAAATTTTCATGGATGATTTTACGTTGTATGGACTAACCTTTGAATCTTGTTTGCAAAATCTTTCGTTAGTTTTACAATGTTGTGAGGAATCAAATCTTGTGCTGAATTGGGAGAAGTGTCATTTTATAGTATGAGAAGGTATCGTGCTTGGACATAAGATCTCTGAGCGAGGGATTGAGGTTGATAAAGCAAAATTGGAAGTGATTGAAAAATTACCTCCCCCAACGATAGGTCGAGCAGTTAGAAGTTTCATTGATCCATGCTGGATTTTATAGAGGATTTGTTAAAGATTTCTCAAAAATTGCAAAACCTCTATCTAATCTTCTTGCCAAGGATGTAAAATTTAACTTTGATTCTAAATGTTTGCAAGCCTTTAATTTGCTAAAAGAGAAGCTATGAAAGCACCAATAATAGTCACACCGGATTGGAACAGGCCCTTTGAAATTATGTGTGACACGAGTGACTATGCCATCGGTGTTGATCTCGGTCAGAGGAAAGACAAAATGTTTCAGGTCATATCCTACGCCAGTCATACCTTAAATGGTGTGCAACTAAAGTACACAACAACCGAGAAAGAATTACTAGCAGTGGTCTTTGCATTCAAGAAGTTTAGATCCTACCTCTTAGGCACGAAATCCATAGTCTAAACATATCACTCAACTCTATGACATCTCTTTGCTAAGAAGGACGCCAAACCATGCCTTATTAGATGGGTCCTTCTACTTCAAGAGTTTGATTTGGAGATTAAAGATCGAAAGGGGACAGAAAATCAAGTTGCTGATCATTTTTCTCGATTAGATAATTCAATCCTTGAAGAGGGAGATATTAGTGTAGAATTTCCTGATGAGCGGATTCTATCTCTTAACTCCTCTTTTTCTAAATCTCCATGGTTTGCTGATTTGGCTAATTTTCTTGCAAGAGGTTGGATCCCAAAGCATTTTACATTCCAGCAAAGGAAGAAATTTTTGGCTGATGTCAAATATTATTTGTAGGAAGACCCTTACTTGTACAAACTATGTGCATATCAAGTTGTTAGAAAATGTGTGCCAAAAGAAGAGATTGGAGCTATTTTGAGTCATTGCCATGATAGAGAAACCGGAGGGCATTTCGGGGTTAATCGCATAGCAGCAAAGGTGTTGCAATCAGGTTTTTATTGGCCCACTGTGTTCAAGATGCTCAAAGGTATGTAACCTCTTGTGATCGTTGTCAAAGAACAGGTAATATTTCTAAGAAAGATGAGATGCCTTTAAATAATATATTGGTATGTGAAATTTTTTATATTTGGGGTATTGATTTCATGGGACCGTTTCCATCATCATATGGGAACGCTTTTATACTTGTGGCAGTAGATTACGTTTCTAAATGGGTGGAGGTAATTGCCACCAAAACTAATGATTCTAGAATAGTACTGCAATTCCTTAGGCGGAATATTTTCACTGGATATGGAACTCCCAGGGCAATCATTAGTGATAGTGGAAAACATTTTTGTAATCACCAATTTAATGCACTCTTAAAGAAATATGGAGTCACACATAAGGTAGTCACTCTCTACCATGCCCAAACCAGTGGTCAAGTAGAGGTCTCTAATAGACAGCTAGAACGAATTTTAGAAAAGACTGTTAGTGCCTCTAGAAAAGATTGGGCGGCAAAGTTAGATGATGCTTTATGGGCATATAGGACAGCCTTTAAAACACCTACTGGTATGTCACCTTATAGGTTAGTATTTGGAAAAGCATGTCACATGCTAGTAGAATTAAAGCACAAAGCTTATTGGGCTACTAAATTTTTGAATTTTGATGTGCAAAGTGCAGATGCTAAACATCTTTTGTAGGTGAGTGAGCTGGATGAATTTCGTCATTGGGCATACGAGAGTGCTAGTTTGTATAAGGAGAAGACAAAGAGATGGCATGATAGGCACATTGTGAAAAGGGAGTTCGAGCTAGGACAACAAGTTCTTGTTTACAATAGTCATCTTTGTCTTTTCCCAGGAAAGCTGAAATCAAGATGGACGGGTCCATATGAGGTAATTCAGGTAACACCTTTTAGAGTAATTTAGATCCGCCATGGAAAGACAGGTGAGACATTTAAAGTTAATGGACACCATTTGAAGCACTATGTTGGAGGACGATTCGATCCAAACACCGCGTCTGTCCAGTTTCTTGAATGAAGAAAGTGGAGAAAGTCAAGCTGACGACTTTAAATTAGAACCATACTTTTTTTCTCTCTCCTACAATTATTTTACTTTTGTTTGCTAAAATTTTTACATTTTTTTCAGTACTTTGATGCATTTTAATTTTGTTTTGTCATCCTCGAAACAAGGAACAAGTTTTGGGAAAGCTTAAGTGATAGAAGAAGAAGACAATTTTGAGTAGAATAGAACACAGGCTACCCTGTGTCATTTTACACAGTCGTGGCCATGTTAAAAGAAGAAAAGCTTGTAGAGTCCAGCCTTCACCATGGGATACCCCATGTTATTTTACACAACCGTGGCCATGTGAAAAAAAAAATGTTTAAAGAAAATAAAAGGGAAAGTGGTGGGCCATATACCCTAAAGAAATTGTTTTTCTTTTCTTCCCTATCCCCACTTATTGTCCGCCGCTCCAACCATTTACTTCTCCTAACCAACTTGTCTTCTCTTTTCATTCTTTTCATTATTTCTTCTTTTTGTCATTTTCTCTTTTAAGGCATATCGTCTTTCACACTTAATGGGTCCACAAAAGAGACTGAAAACTACAAAAGGAGCACAGTCCTCGTCCTCAAAACGACCAGCCTCTTCCTCTCGAAGATCCATAGCTCCAGACATTCCAAGATCTATCACCTTTAAAAATAAGGAACAAGAGGAAAGGGATGTCCTATTCTGCCACCAACCAACATTGCTCAGTCTACTCCCGAGGACTTGGAAAATGACACTCTAATAGGTTTTCACGTAGAGAAAGCTGCGCTGAACACTGAGGGTCAAGCCGTTTCAGCTCCACAAGCTCAAGCACCTGTGACTCTAGAGAAGCTCCTACATGTAATGCAAAGACTAGAGACTAGCATCAACAGTGTCAATGATCGCCTATTCGTTCTTGAAGCCAAATTTGACCGCTATATGAGCCCAAATTCGTGAGTGTTCTATCCTCTAAATTCAGGGAAGTTTCTATCTTTTACTTTCCATGTTTTTTGGCTTTTTTTCATGCATTGAGGACATTGCATTCTTTAAGTTTGGGGGAGTGGGTAGTTCGGTTTGTGTTGCATTGTTGATGGTATATTTCTATTGTTTGGTGTGTTTGTTTTTAGGAAGTTTTTAGTTTATTTGTGTGTTTTTGGTTTGCATTTTGTATTTGTTGCATGGTGGTTATTATGCTTGTACTTTTGATACAATCCCGAATGAAACTTTGTGATATCCACCACGCCCCCCAACCCCCCCGGCCCCCCCCCCCCACCAAAAAAAAAAAAAATAAAGTGCCTTTTGTGATAAACTTTGTAATCATTTGGAGTAGTGGTAGTATCAAGTCATTGAAAGGATTCAAACATGCTCATATCTTTAGGAATGCTAAAGAGTACGCGATTATAGATGGTTGTGCAAATTCTTGTTTATTACTTGACTTTGTTGTATACAAGCTGAGCCTTGTCTTCACTCCCTAAAAAAAAACTGTATATGCAGTCTTGAAATAAATTAACTATGCTTATTTGTTTTTTTTTTTTTTTAATGAATTACTCTGTTGTTTCAATCTGCTTAGTAACCAGGAGTATTCATGAGCCCCATGTTTACTTCTGCATCAAACCGTGGCTTGAATTATGAGTATGCAAAGCACTTTAGGTGTTGTGACATTGCTGAGTAACTGAAGGCACTCATCACAAATGTGTGCATTCGCATAAAAAGGTGACGTGACAATCTAAGGAAGCCTATGAAAAAAAAAATAAAGAAAAAGAAAAATAAGTAGGGGGTTGAGTATAAAGTCTTGGCCAGGCATGATTGGGTTGAGGAAAGATTAGAGTTGCACAATTAGTTGAGTTGTATGTTTGGATGCATGAATATTATTTAAAGCATGTTTGCTTTCTTTTCGTGATTTCGGAAATACCGCGAATCCTTGATGATTGTTGAGTTTGTTTTTTCTGATATTTTCTTAACTCGAAGACAAGCAAAGGATTAAGTTTGGGGGAGTTGATAAGTTGCATAATTTGAGTGTTTTTAGGGTTGTTTTGATGTTAGTTTAGTTAACTTCTCATTTGTTTTCTTTGTTTTGATGTTAGTTTTTGTTAAGTTTGAGATATGAATGGTTAGCTATTGATTTGGATAGTTTTTGTCTTTTTAGGCTTTGATTGAGTAGATTGGAGCATTGGAATGAAACTGGGACTTCAAGCTTGAAGAAGTTGAGATTACCTAACATTCTTGAAGGCTACGGCCATGCCTTGGTAGTTCACCATGGCCATGGTGGTGGAACAAAGATAAAACAAAGAGACCAGAAAGCACTACGACCTAGGCTGTGGTGACTTGAATTTGGCCACAGCCAAGGCCGTGGTGGAAACTATTAGGGCGTTTTTGTCAGTTTTTCTTTCCTTTTTCACTTAGGACTCTTTTGGGTATTTAAGTATAATTCATATTAGTTGTCAAAGGACGAATTTTGCATATTTTTGAGAGGAGAAGACGCATTCTTGGGGCTTGAAGACTGAAGATCAAATTTAAGAGTTTGATTTTTGTTTATTTTCAAGTCTGAATATGTTTTCTTTCTTCTCTATTTATTCCTTTGTTCTTAGGATGGAGTAAATCTCTTTCGTTAGGGGAAGATGAAACCCTAATTATGTTTTGAACAATTTTTATTCTTAATGCCAGATTTATGTTTATGAATTTGTGCAAGATTTTAGGTTTAATGCTTTATGAATGTTGGATTGATTCAATTACCTTGATGATGTTTCGAATAAAGAAGTTAGGGTTTATTGCTTAATTCTTATTCATAATTGTTTTATGAGAATAACATTGCACAACATATTAAAACTAGAAGTAATCGAATAGAGATTCTAGGATTAATTTGTGGTCCATCTAATTCATAACTGAATAGGGCGAATTAGTCCTAAGGGATTGATGAATTTATGCTTCTTAATTTCAGAGTAACCGAATAGGGATCTGTATTAAGTTGAATATTATGCCTAGATAAGGATAGTTGGCCTTAGAAGAATCCTACCAATTCATAGCACAAACAAGTATTAAGAGCAGTTGTCAAGCATATTTAAGGGGAAATCTATACCCTAACTTCATTAATATTGCAAAGTTCTTCACATTGTTTATTTGTTTAATTTAGTTATTTTTAATCCGTTAATTTTACAATCTAAACTTTTGTTTTCTCAAATAACGTGTAGGTAGTTTTAGGTTATTACAAATATTTGCTTTGATCTCTATGGGACGATACTCAAACTCATCACTTTATTACTTGAACACGACTAGTGCACTTGCCAGGGTTGATTTAGTCGCATCAATCATGATGACTCTAATATAAGTCAACATTAAATGGGGTATTTGTCCTGCAAGAGACAATTGTCAAATTTCCTTAAGTCTGACAAACGTAAAACAATTTAGAGCTATTTCTGAAATGATAAGGGGTTTATTAACATAAGGTATACCTTGAGGGTGCGTTTGGATCAGAGGCATATAAGATAACGGGGGTAATCTTCGTTTATTTTGCAAGATTCTGGTGTTTGCTTTGCAAGTAATAAAATATTACAGGTATCTTTTATTGCAAATAGTGTTTATTGTTGGTAATGTGGGGGGTAATCCGATACCCTCCCCCACCCCTGGGATTAAAACATTACCGGGTAATCTGATTTTTATACCTATTTTGCCATTAATTAAATACCATCTAGACACAGTTGCCTTCAAATGTCTACCAAATAACAATTACCTAGCCCCCTGACATTTGAGAAATTACCTACAACACCCTCGCCACAGAAAAGTTTAAAAGTTAACAAAATACCCCTAGCCACCCAAGACCACCGCCGACCGTTACTCACCACCGCCGACCACTGGTGTCAATCGCCATAATGGTGCACGACCAGCGGGATCTGGCCGATCGGGTGTCGGTAAGGCCTTTTCAGCCATGGATCATAGATCTATGGCCGGAAACAGCCAGATCTGGCAGTTTCACAACCACATCTTTTCCCGTGAAATGACCATAGATCTGGCAGTGAAACGACCATGGATTTGTGATCCATGGACGGAAATGGCTTTGCTGATGCACAATCGGCCATATACGGCTAGTCGTACGCTATTCCGTCGACTACTGGTAGCGGTCAGTAGTGGTGGCTGGCTACCGGCAATGGCTTGGGATGGGTGGGGGTGATTTTGCTACAAATTAAAGATTTATATGGCTGGGATGTTTTAACAAAATTTCAAGGGGGTTAAAAGAATGATTCAAAAAATAATAATAAAAAATAATATTGTATTAATATTTAAAAAGGAAGGCAATTTAGTAATCTATATAACATACTCACAATTTATCCTCCAAACCAAACATATTATTCACCAATTTATTTGAACCAACCAAACACATTTTCTAAACACTCCTAGTAATCTTCAAGGTGGTCTATATTTCCATTAATATAACATCCTCCTATAATGAAACATTATATGATCCTAACGCCCCCTGGGGGGTATAAAGAATTCCCATTATTGTAAAGCAATAACCAAAAAAACTTTAAAAGGTTATAATATCTTTGTAAAATAAGAAATGGTAAAATTGGTTTTTCATTAGTAAAAAAGGGCCCATGATCAATTAATAGAGTTTACAATAAAGGTGTCGTAATTAGTTTCTAGAACTTTGGGGGACGAGGCATTTAACCTAACCTCAAATGTGCCAATGTTATTCTCCTCAATATCTATTGTAAGTGTAGATAAAGTTTATGTATTTGAATTCAATCAAGATTGGCTTACAACCCAATCTTATAAACTTTCTCTCACAATCCTGACATGGCAACTCGCAATTAGGTAGATAAGACCCATTACAAGCTGACCAATTGCGAACTACCATATTAGGATTATGAGAGAAAGTTTGTGAGATTGGGTTGTAAGTGTAGTACTGCCTATTTGAATTACATTGACACATATAAACTATAATTCTTTAGCTCCCTAATATATAGGACTATTAACTATGGGTCCACTACGATCAAAAAGTAACACATCGGTTGCTAAAAAGTTTTAACTTTAGTCCCTATAAAATCGGAAATTAATCCACTTATTTTTCAAGATAGGGATTAAACTATTATTTTACGGTTTTAGTGGACCAAATTGGCTCTTAGTAAACCTCAGGTAGCTAACTTATCCTTTAAAAACCTAGTACTAAACTCAATGAAATCCCAACTCCATCTTATTTATTCAGAAACCAAAAATTTTATTAGTAGAATTTGAATTTTCTTATTGTATCAACCTTTTTTGTTAAATTATCATCCCTATATGTTATCTTATTGTTTATGGTAATGTTGTAAGAAAAGAAATTTTGTTGCTTTGGCATCTTTTTTGTCAAGTAAGAAATACCATTTTTAGTAGGTTGTAATGTAACGGCAATAAATGTGTGGATTTCGAGGCACTTCTTAAGTTATTTGAATAGTTTTAATTAAGTTACTTTGTAACGGTAGATTATGATTTAAAGTCTAGATTTTCACCTTTCCATCAAGATCAACAAGCATAATTTGAAATACTATATATACGTATGCACCCCCATTCAAACTTTACAAGAAAATTGTTTTCATAAATAGAATTGGAGATGAATTCTGGTCGGTTAATGATTTACCAAAATATAATCGAAAGAATGACGTGTTCTCGATGGTCTTCTGGTAAATCGTTGATTCGATTAGAATTCAATGCTACATCAAGACATTATTTCATTTTCTGATCATCTCGTTCACAGGATTCAGAATGCAAAAGGTAAAACAAGAATCCTTTTAAGATTTATTTAAGCTATTAAGTGGCTTTTTCTCTTCAGTATCTCTTAGGAATAACTGCTCTAAACCTGATGAGGTGTACCTTACATCCAAACGTCCTCTTGTTCTGGAAATATCTCTGAAACCCCTATCATTTGTTAAACTTGAGAACTTTATAGTTAGATATAACTTAAGATCGGTAAAATAGTAAATGAC